GAGTGCGAGAGAGTGAGTGCGAGAGAGTGAGTGCGAGAGAGTGAGTGCGAGAGAGTGTGCGAGAGAGTGTGCGAGAGACAGTGTGTGAGAAACAGAGAGAGTGTGTGAGAGACAGAGAGAGTGTGTGAGAGAGAGTGAGAGAGACTGTGAGTGTGTGTGTGTGTGTGTGTGTGTCAGAGAGTGAGTGAGAGACGATGAGGTTTATTAATTTGAAATGTAAGGATCAGTGTTACGTTATGAGAGTGGGCTCTGCGGGGGTCACTCTCCTACCGACTAGGGCAGGTGGGTCTGGGATGGGGGGTAGGTGTGTAGACCCCATGGATATCTCCTCTCCCTCCCTCACCCCACCCCGCTCAGGGAGCAGCCGCCAACCTACTCCCTTCCCCCTCCCCACCCAACCCCGCCAAGTCCCGCGCTCTCCCCTCCTCTGGCCTGACGGTGCCGGGGGTCGGGTCTCCCGCCCACTTCACATGTTGTAGGCGACGTAGATGGGGTCGAGCTGGTCGGCCAGGAAGCTGTCCCTGAGGTGCATGCGCTGTTTCTCCCCCCTCGAGTTGACGGGGACCACCCCCCGGTCCACCACGACCACCACCCCGACGATCAGCTGGTGCTCCTCCAGCACGGCCCCTGTCACTGCCGGCACCAGGTCCAGGGCCTCTTTCTCCGAGCCATCGAGCTCCGCCACCACCACCAGCAGGTTCGTCCAGGTGAAGACCGCGCTGGAAGGGCAGACGGGGTTGGGGGAGGGGAGGGGGGGTGGGAGTTGGGGATAGGGCACGGTCAGCTGCCAAAGTCAACGTCCCAAACCACTCACCGTCTCCCCCCACCCCCACCACCCAAAACCGCCCAGGTCCCACGGTTCTCTCCCCCCCAACCCCCAACCCCCAACCCCAGGGGTGGAGGGGCTGACCCCGCCGTCGTCCGAAACGTCCACTCCCCACCAGGCACGTCCGCACCCAACCCCGCGGGGTGGGGGGTGGGAGGGGGCAAGGGGCAGGGAGTGGAAAGCAGACAGTGTGAGGACAGCAGGATGCAGAGAGAGAGACAGAGAGGGAGGGGGGCAGGCAGAGCGAGAGCAACAGCAAGAGAGAGAGAGTGCAGAGAGACCAGAGAGAGAGAGAGAAAGAGAGACAGAGACAGAGAGAGAGAGAGAGAGACAGAGAGAGAGAAAGAGACACAGTGAGGGAGGGGGGCAGGCAGAGTGAGAGCGAGAGAGAGAGAGAGAGAGGGTGCAGACAGACCAGAGAGAGACTGACAGAGAAAGAGAGCTTGCAACTGAAAGAGAGAGCACAACGTACAGAGAGAGAGAGAGAGAGAAAAATGGAGGGTGGCACACAGTGAGAGAGGGAGAAGGCGACAGACAGTGAGAGAGCAAGTGACAGAGAGAGGGGGAGAGACAGAGGCAGACAGGGAGAGAGGGAATGACAGAGAGAGAGGGGGGAACGACAAACAGAGAGGAAGACCGACAGAAAGAGAGAGAGAGAGAGGAAGACCGACAGAAAGAGAGAGAGAGAGGGAGCGACACACACACAGAGAGAGGGAGCGACACACACACAGAGAGAGGGCGCGACACACACACAGAGAGAGGGAGCGACACACACACAGAGAGAGGGAGCGACACACACACAGAGAGAGGGAGCGACACACACACAGAGAGAGGGAGCGA